ATAGAAAAGAACCGAAAAAAACAAGATAGGAAGAGGACGCCATGGCCTGCGGACGCCTGCAGGACTACCTCGGATCTCCGATGGGGTGAAGGCAGCAACCCCTAGCTAAGGTCCGTATGCTCTAGTACCAGGACCTGCACAAAAGAGTGCAGAGTGTAGTATAAGTACAACCGACCCCATGTACTGAGTAACTGTCGAGCCTAACCTCGGCGAAGTAGTGACGAGGCTAGGACACAACAAACAACATAACCTGCAGTTAAACAGTATCTAGCAGAATAACAGTAATAGAACCAATTCAAAAGTAACAGGGAGGGGTAACATGCTATGGGGGAAATAACAATATAAAGAATCACAGTAATAACGGAATGAAATAATTAAGGCCCTTGAACCGATAACAACAATAAATCATAACAAACTGGCAATAAGTGCACAACATCACCCTTCATGCTTTTACTCTCAATCCTCACTATGCAATCAATAATGAAAATGTGCAACGGCATCACCCTTCGTGCTTTATCTCTCTTCCTCACCAGATGCATCAATATCAATGTAAATGTATACGGCATCACCCTTCGTGCTTTATCACTATTTCCTCACCCAAACGATAGCAACAACAATATCCCAGCAAGGGAATCAACAATAAGAATAAATACATCCCGACAAGGGAATCAACAATAAGAATTAAATACGTCCCAGCAACGGAATCAGCTATAACCAAACTTGTACCAACAATTAACTTCACAAATGAACCTCAACTGGAGCCAATGCTCAACAATAACCAAATACCAAGAAGATACTCATACGTCTTGCTCAACATGGATAATCAACAATTTAGGCATTTGTAGTAATTATTAAGGAACACAACGATCACAATTTAAGACTCACGGGTATGCTTGACACCAACGTATAGATACTCGTCACCACACCTATACGCCGTACACTACACTAGCACATAGCAAATAAGGCACAACACCTATTCCCTCAGCTAAGGTTAGACCAAACACTTACCTCGAACTACCACGGCCAAACTCAAGCCTCAAACACCGTTTTTCCTTTTGATTCCACTTCCAATTCGATTGTATCTAGTCAATATTAGCTTACTAATATTAATAAATGCTAAAGAATTCAACTCCAATGCTAAATTATAGGTTTTCTATCATTTTTCCCAAAAAGTCAAAAATCGACCCCGGGCCCGCTTGGTCAAAACTCGAGGTTCGGACCAAAACCCGATCTTCCATTCACCCACGAGCCCGAATATGCAATTAGTTTCGAAATCCGACCCTAAAACGAGGTCTAAATTCCAATTATTCAAAAAAGCCCTAACTCTAAGAACTTTAAATATTGAATCATTATTTAAATCTGAATCCATCTTTGAGCATAAACAGAATGAGTCCGCTCATATGAGCTTACTCATACTGTCAGGCCCAACCCGAATAAATGAGAAGGTTGTGGTAGATTAGCGATCCGCATAAAAATTATTACTCCCATAGTCCATAATAAATTTTTTTTTTCCTTTGGCACAGCCCTTAAGAAAATACTATTTGTTAGTGAAAAAAAATATTTGGACTATATTATCCTTAATTAAAATTTGCATATTTTTAACTTGACATATTGGGATATGTAAATAAGGATAAATTTTGGAAAAGTAAAATTAATTCCCTTTCGATTATGTAACAGGACACTTATTTTGAACCAAAATAAAAAACAAAAAAAATCACTTATAATGAACGAACGGAGTAATTCATAATTAATGTTACGCGGCGCCTTCCTGAGATTCCTTGGAAGGGCGACGTAAGGCTAGGCAACTGATGTCAGTGCAGTTGCTGTCCGCCAACTGAGGTCCCCTCCGTACGCTAGACGAGATTGTCAGTGTCGTACGGGAAAACCAATGTCAAGAGCAATTGAGAGAACAAAAATGAGAATTCAGAATGAAAGAAAGCTTGATTGCATTAATGAAAGCTATTACAGAAAAGCAACGCGGTGTCGAGGGTGAGAGACACCAGTACAGAGAATTGCTTGCTTGCTAGAAAGTTTTGATTGCTTGATCCCCCCTAATAGTACTTAAAAAAAATAATCCAAAGTTACAAGACTAGACTTGACTAAGCTAGAGAAACATAATGGAAGTACATGAAATAAAACTACTCTATATTTACAATGAAAATGACTTAGTTTTCTATAAGGCAGCAGCAGGTCCGTCGTCAGCAGCAGTGTATTTGGCATCACGGTCTGCGCGCGCGGCGTTGTCTGCACGCGCGTCGCTGTTGGCTTCTGCCTGCGGCTTGGCGCTCGCGAGGGATATCAGTGGGGCGACAGAGGCACCTGCGCGCTTGTCACTTGGCGCGGCCAAGACCACGGGGCCGTCCGTGGCGCTAGGCATTGGGAGGTTTGCTAGGACGCCACGGGGCGCGCCCAAGGGGTCATGGGGCATGGCTGGAAAGCCGCCCATGACATTAATCATGATTTTGTTTCACAAAAAAAAAAGAAGAAGGGAAAAGGCATAGAAATTGTAGTAGCACTAAAAACATATGGTCAAAATTCAAAGATCAATAGGAAGCAGAAAAGTGAAATAAAGCAATAGGAAAGCATGCCACCTTGTTTCTTTGTCTCGTTGTAATGGCATTTTTATATACTGACCTTCTTTTCCCACTTTTCAAGAGCTTCGACACAACAGACAAACAGTAATGTCACTACGTTCTTCCTGGATCCATATAGATTGGACCATTTTCTACTCCCCTTTTATTTCCATTATACTTGTATGATTTGTACTATCACTTTTCCCTTATCATCATCTGTATGTGTTTGTTTCTTTTCCTTTAGTTATTTCTTAAATAAAGATTTTAATTTCAATTCTAAAATAAAAAAATTTCTAGTAGGCAACGTTTCCCTCTAAAATGAACACTAAGCTCAGATTGATGAGTTATAGATAGCAGATGATTAAACCGAAAAAAGAAAATTAGTATTGAGTAAGTGGTTGTATCTTATAGGTTGGGATTTGTGATTCTCGAGAAAATGGTGTAAAAGAGGCAAAGGATACTTCGGGGAGTCCTCTTTCGTGTACAGGAGTGTGATTCCAATTTGTGGGCCTTTATTCCCAACGTGCCACCACCAACAAGTGATCTCGGATTTTCAAGAATAACATTTAAAATATTATCCCTTCCATATTCTTTTCCCTTCTCAAAGAGAGGTTGAGTAACAAGTATGAAAATGACGGGGTCGTTAGTAGGATATATATATGTATTAGCTTTGTATTATCAATCCTATGTTTGATGGTGCTTTTTAACCTATGTATAATTAATATACACTCTGTATAGGGTCGAATTTGACCAACCCCGTCCTCAAAACGGACACGACCTGTCGTATGGACAAAGGTCGGGCCCAAGGGACGACCCAAGGCTAATTGGAGGGACGACCATGTAATCACGTCGGCCCCTCTGTAACGTGCACTTTATCTTTAGTTTATATATTTTATCTTTATATCGTAAATAGGAAAAAAGGGGAAATCCCTCCGCTATATAAGGGGGGTTCCCAACTGTGTAAGGGAGAGGATTTTTTTCTGATCAATAACATTTCTACTTACTCTCTCTATCTCCTTGTCTCAATTTCTCTCTCTCTCTTTCTCTGAAAAATAGATATCTCTGATCTTTGTAACATAACTCGTACTCTAGTGTCGATTATCTTTGATTACGATTTACCTCTTCTCCATATATTTGATTGATTTGCTTAAATACTGTTCGTTAACATTTTAAGTCAAACACACTCTATTCAATATTATTCTTGTACATAACAAATCATGACATTAGCAATACCATTATTTTTAATACATGAATAAACATGTATAAAGATAGATCTGTCTTTTCAAAATCTTTTCCAAGTACTTTCCAACGAATGTGGAGGGTATTTTTGTAAACAAATATTTTTAAAAAAATGATACAATGCATGTTATTTTTAATATACCAAACCAAACAATCGATACAAAAATAATTTTAACATAACTAATCCTACCATTACTAACCTGAGAATTATCAATCTACCCTACCAAAAGACCCCTAAGGGGTCGTTTGGTATGAGGTATAAGAAGGTATAATGCTGGTATAAAAATTTAATACCACCTTAATACTTTGTTTAGTTAGCAAACCTGATATAAGTTATCCCGGGATTAAAATTAGTAATGGAATAACTTATACATTGCAGAGGGTGGGGTAATTAGTGCCGGGATAACTTATACCTTCTTCTTAGAAAGTATGCAGTTATCATTTTCAATACAACATACTCCCTCCGTTTCAAATCAAATGAGGTAGTTTGACTCGGCACGGAGTTTAAGGAGAAAAAGAAAGACTTTTGAAAGTTGTGATCTTAAAAGCTTAAGGGGTAAAGCTTTGTGGGGCCATGACTTTTGTGTGGTTATAAAAGCTTCTCATTAAGGATAAAATGGGTAAAATGAGGAGTTTAAAGTTGAATTATTTCCAAATTTAGAAATGTGTCATTTATTTTGGAACAGACTAAAAAGGAAAGTACATCATTTAATATGAAACTGAGGGAGTACCAAATAGTGTATAAAAAATACCAGGATAACTAATCTCAACATAACTTATCCCGACATAAGCCGTATTTGAACCAAACGACCCCTAAGTGTATAATTAATACTAGAAGTATTTTATCAAAGTTCCTTACTTCTTCATAATTACTTCCTCTGGTCCAAAATAAGTGATTTTTTGGCCTTTTTCTTGTGGTCCAAAATAAGTGCTTTTTTCAGATTTCAAGAATGAATGAATTATTTTTTTCCTACATTGTTCTTGAAGTAAATGGTGTTGGAATATGTGTTAGAAGTGTTTATGTGAGATAATAAAGGTTAATATGGTCAATTCCATTACTAATTAATGCTAAAAGATAAATTTCTTAATTTGTGTAAAAATATCTTAAAAATCACTTATTTTGGACCGGAGAGAGTAGTACTCCCATTAGGTCTGACATTAATACGGGGGAACCGAGAGACAATAATTAAGTAAAAAGATACAGCATAAACATCAGATCAAGAAATTAATTCCATAAAAGAGGCACATGGTTCCATCTGTTCACTCTTTCTCTTGCCAACTCCCTCTCTGACTTCTTCTTCCTTTTCTCTCTCTCTCTCTCTCTTTATTCCTCTGTCTGCGGCAGCGCCAAAGTCACCTTCCATTACTCTTTCTAGATTTTGTTTTCAACCGTTTCCGAAAAATCCATGAGTTTCCCCACAATCTCCGCAACCCCATTTAACTCTACATTTCTCTTGTTCCATTTCCATGAAAATATACCCATTTGATAACATTTCTACTTTACATTTTCAAGATTTCACATTTTTAACATTCTACCAGATCTTGGATCTTCCTTTTTTCCTTTAAAATGTCATAAAGGTACAATCTTTACACCATTTTAGTACACCCAAGTGACAGAATTTGTCATTAAAGAATGGAACACAAGCATATGCTCATACTTATTATAGTACCAAGTTCAGTAACTGTTATAATTATTCTGTTCGTCATGATCTATTGTTGTAGAAGGAAAGGAGGAGAAACTGTTTCAAGAGATATAGAAGCTAGTTTAGAGGTTAAAGAAAGAGACGGGGTTGAGAAAGATTTATTGATAAAGTTTAAAGATGGTGAAGATCTAACAGTGTATGATATATTGGATGCTCCAGGTGAAGTTATTGGGAAATCAAGTTATGGAACTTTGTACAGAGCTACCTTGGTGAGTATTGATAGGCTTACACTATTGAGATTCTTGAGGCCAGCTTGCACTGTGACAATGAAAGAAGTGGTGCCTGTAATGGAACTTCTGGGGTCCTTAAGGCATCAAAATTTGGTGCCATTGTGTGCATTTTATGCAGGGCCAAGAGGAGAGAAGTTGATGCTTCATCCTTTTTATCGTCATGGCACCTTAGCCCAATTGATTAGAGGTAAAAATTACTAGTATTTCGCTTTCATCTCATCATCCACTATTTTCAACGCCAAATATTAATGTATATGTGACACATTTGATATTATATTTGAAAATAATTTAATTTTAAAATTTTTACTTTACCTATTTACTTTTTTTAGTCACACCCCACAAAGCTTTTACATTTTTTAGCATTCATGCCGAGTCAAACTATATAAATTGAAACAAAGGAGTAATAAACATTAGAATTTGAATTTATAATCTTAAAAGTATAATGAATTCATACTTTAGAGAGTAAAACCATTAAGCTGCCTCTGATGTGGTGTGTGTTCAACAAAATTTCAAGAATATGTTTTTTTTTTTGTCTTGGAAATAGAATAAGAATAGAAAAAATACTGGTCTTTTTAAGGATTGTAACATCTGGCAGGAGATGCTTGATTTTCACAGGTTGATAAAACGTTTTAATTTCTGTTTTTTCTTCTCGGGTTTTATTGGTAAATACAATTTTTTTTTTGGGCCAATAATTGCTATTTGGTGCCTTGCAAAGAGTCTCTGTCAATCATTTTCTCACAACTGGAATGAGTATTAAACTATATTTTCTGCTTTTATGGCGTTTCCATTATTAGATCCCTATATGCAGTTTAAATTTTGAGGTTCTTTAATTGTTGCCTTTCTCCCTCTTCAATTTTGATGGTAAATATACTTGCTATTTTTGTGACATCTCTAAAAAAGATATTATTTCTGAATCTGGAGAGCATAGCTCTTTAATTTAACAATGAAATGGAACTTTGACTTTTTCTTTTTCTTTTATTCCTCACTTTTTTCATTTTTTTTTTATTTGAATATTTTGGCGGTGATTTCATCTTTCTCTATAGTTGTGTCGTTTGGACAGGTTTTGTGTGTTGGCAAAAGTTTGCTAAGTGGTACTTAGTACTTTCTGGATTTTAGGTGGAATTTGTTTTCTTCTGCATATTTAAAAGTTACACACGTGCAGTGTAATAGTTTCAACATATCTTGTTTAATTAATATCTCAGTTAGTTTTCTTGTCAAAATTATCATTTCATTAATTTCCTTTCATGTTAAGAGAAGTGGAGTCTTGGAGCAGCGTAAAGTTGTCCCGGTATGACTTATAGGTGTGGTAGGTTAGGCTGTCTACGTCACATCCCTTAGAGTGTGGCCTTTCCCCGGACCCTGTGTGAATGCCTTGTAAACTGGGCTACCCTTTTCTTGCCTATCGTTTTAAGTTCAACCACTCTCAAGCATACAAAATGTATTAGGTTTTAATGGATTATTTTGTCGAATATGCATATGTTTTACTGAGCAAGAAAATTATGCATCTACTTGTAACAGACGGGAATGGTGAGGCTCATAAATGGCACATCATATGTAGGATCTCCATTGGCATTGCTCGAGGACTAGACTATCTTCACACAGATTTGGAAATTCCCATAATCCATGGAAACCTTAAGTCGAGTAACATACTTTTGGATCGTCACTTCAGACCATATGTGTCCGATTTTGGTTTGCATCTTGTCTTGAATCCAACTGCAGGCCAAGAAATGCTTGAAGCTTCAGCAGCTCAAGGATACAAAGCCCCTGAATTGATCAAGATGAAAGAAGTTAGCGAAGAAACCGATATTTATAGCCTTGGGATTATCTTGTTAGAGTTACTAACAGGGAAAGAACCATTCTACAGGAAACCAAATCTTGATAAGGATATTTATTTGCCTAATGCTGTTCAGAGTGCAATTCTTGATCATAGAGTTATGGACTTTTATCATCCAAAGATTCTACTTAGCCAAAATGATGAGCAAAGAGCAGTTAGTGAAGATCTTATTTATGAATTCCTTCAGCTTTCAATGGCTTGTTGTTCTCCTTCACCTGCTCTTAGACCTACTATAAAACAGGTCGTTAGCAAGCTTGAAGAAATTGGAAGGTAAAATGAGCAATCGATTCACTCGGGGCAGGACCTGTTTCCTTTGAGTGACTTGATCCAATTGATCTGTATGGTGCTGATATAACAGACTGACTTGTTGCCAGATAACGGAATATGTCATAGCAAGAAGCTTATATCAAATTGGCAAGAATTATGAAGTTGGTGTTGAGTTATTCGGAAAATGGTCATCAGAGACAAGTTTCTGGATCCTGAAGATTAGCTTCCAATATCATCCTCAAGATTCACTCTTGTCATTTAACAAGGGGATGAATGGATTAAGGAACTACATTGTGAAACAAAATATTTGTAAAATGTAGTTGAATAGACCTTCGTGGTCCGGCCCTTCTCCGGGCCCGCGCATAGCGGGAGCTTAGAGGGTGACGTTTCGTCTCAATTTCAGAGAAATCTGGTGACAGTTGAAGCTCCAAAGGATCGACAAGACATAATCACCACCAACCGGGTGCATGTACCACGATGTTTTGACAAAATGTTGTGATTTTTTAGCTTAAACATTAGAAAAGACAGAGTGTTCCAGCTACAAGACAAACAAGAGCCATTTTCCATCACTGAAATTATTGAACGCCAGTTTTGTCATTGTTCGGAAAGTCTAACACCATAAAGATTTACAAGCTTACTGTATTGATTTGTTTACTGTATTCTCGTTTGTCTTACGTCTGCATTATATCAAGCTGCTCCCTCTCCTCTCTGCACGTGTACGTACTAGCATACAAAAAATGCTATTCATATAAATTTCTTAAAAAGAATAATTTGTTTTTATTATGAATACAATTTAACTTCAAACTCATTTTACTCTTAATGTGATGTATATAGCCACATAAATTTCTTGTTACACCTGGGTTTTCGTGCCTGAAAGTATGCCATAAGTAAATTGATGAAAGCTCGGAAATGAGATGTTATATCCCGCATTTTCGTACGTTAAAGATTCGTCGTAAGTTAATCGACGTAAGCTCGGGAATGTGATTATTTTTGAAGTTATAAGTATTATGCTATTTCAAACAAGAAATAAGTAATTCGTGAAGGTAAGTGATGATAGGCTATAATTACGTATTTAAGTCGCTTATTACACTCTAATTTACTGCATTTTAATTGAGTTTGCGCTTTAATCGCTAGTGTTTTGCACTAATGGTGTGTTTTATGCCTTGTAGGAGTGATTCCGAGATATATAGATGTTATGGAATGAATTCAAGTGATTTGGAGCTTTGAAGTCTGAGTAAAAGCCCAAGGAATTAAGCCGGGATCGTATTCGGGGATCAACGGATGATAAAACAACAAAACGAAGACTCGAGTAAGCATATTGCGCACTGTCTAGTAAAATGCACATAACTTTTTGCTCAGAACTCCATTTGGGCTCCACAATATATGGCTGGAAAGCTAACTCAAAGGGCTACAACTTTCATGTTTTAAGTTTTTCCAAATTCCAAACGGAACAGGGTCAAAAACGCGATTGAAACTGCGACTGCGGACCTGATGCTGCAGAACACTGCTGCAGATTCTGAAGGCCACTCTGGCCGCGGTTCTGGTGTAACCGCGGTAGGACCGCGGCAGGACGCGTAAATTTTAGGGACTAAAGTGCAAAATACGGGATTTCAAGCCCTAAACCCTATATTAAACGAAGGAAGCCGGCCAAGAAAGAGGAGAATGATTTTTGGAAGTGAAAAACATCAGAAGGAAGGGCAAGAGGCAAGGAGGATCATTGGGCATCAATCTTTAATCTTCTTCTTTGTTCTTTTACCTTTGAATATGAATTCTTTTGTGATTTTTGTTATTTTCATGAGTAGCTAACTTTTCTAATCTAAGGTTTTGATGGAACCTTTTGGGGATGAATTGGTTGTTATATTAATATAGTTTTGAGTTAGTTTAATCTCTATTTGTTCAACTATGTTTTGATTGTGGTTAATTGAAAGGATCCTCAATTAGCCGTTCCTATTTATTATGTATCTGCTTGAGAGCGAGTGCATATTTAGGTAGTTGTTTGAACAACATCACTCCCGGAGTATAGGCGAGAGTCATAACCGATTGTTTAGAGCTTGGATTAGAGATAACGATACCTCGAGTGCGATCTAAGTGAACTGTAATGCGAATCTAGCTAGCGTAGCTTGAGAGAGTGCGTCTAGTAAATTATCATAATTGCTTGAGAGAGATTTATGATAGCTGGAGAGTTCATGATTGATAGAGGCAACTAAGTCAACGCTATAAGAAACATACAACCAAGGAAATCAACAACGGGGAAACCATTACCTTAGACCTTTATTCTAATTGTTTACAATTCAAGCATAGTTAGTTTTCAGCTGTTTATTTATTTTCAATCTTGTCTTCTTGGTGATATTAAACAGATACAGCTAAGGCTTAGTTCTCTGTGGGATTCGACTCCGGACTTTTAGACCGGATTATATTTGCAGCGACCGCTTATCCTTTTTAGGACTAGAGTTGGGCGTGATCAGTAAGAGGGTAAGCAAATCAAAGAAAATGAGTTTCGTCGAAGTTTGACATTTTGAGATAAAATACGATCCAAGCTATAATACCTCGTATTTATGGACTAGTGACATACAAGGTACCACATGACCATGATAGTAAGATGTATAAAGTGTGTTAAAAGTAAGTATTATTTTAAGTAATTTGAAATAATTCTTAATTAAGTGGGTAATTGGTTAACTATTTAATTAGTTGGAGATTAACAAGTTAATTAAGGAAATGAGCGGATAATTTTGGATAAGCCAACCCCTCCCCCCCCCCCAACGTGGCAGCAAACCTACCCCAAATTAGTGACTCTTAAGTTATATGGTAAGGTGGCAAAATTAAAGAGTTATGTGGCTAAGTCACCACATGAAGTGGGGCCCACAACCTACTATTTAAAGAAGCCTTCTTATCTCATTAGAGTTGGATACTAGGTTTGCTAATTAAGGGTTGAAAACTTCAGCAAGAAAATTTCATCCAAGAACATATATGATAGTAACATGAGTTACTTCAACAAAAATTCATACGAGACTTCTTAGCATAATAGCAACGGGATTTTGCGATTCTAAGATAGTACGATGCAATCTTTCTCAAGAATATCATACGGATTTTCCCTTACTTCGATCCGCCGTTACATGTTTTGCCGCAATTAACATGTTTTAGAGGGATTGTCAAGAGAATCGGTTCAGGTATGTTAAGGCTATCCCTTCTTTCCCTTTGGCATGATCCATACGATACAAATGAAATGAGCAAATGCATAACTTTCATAAATGACTTTATTCATAGAAATACTAGATATGTCTATGTTCTTGATTTCCCATGTGTCCTATTGTTCTATCATCTGTTCATGGGTCTCATAAAATACATAAATTGATAAAGTTTATTTCATGATATTAATCAAAGGCATAATAGTCTTATGGCGTTCCGAGAGATTTTATTGACATACTTCTCATGTATTGCGTTCATTTATACATGTATATTGACCCATGACCAGATGGTGTTATATACGCGTATATATATATGTATATGGGGTATGAGAAAATGTTATGGCGTTATATACATACCACCACCTAATCAGCTGGTATACGTTGATGATTCTGCCCACAGTGGCCAAGATGATATGATGGGATGCCCTTAGAGGCTTGATGATGTTATATACGCATATACCCATGCATCATATGATATTTATACGCATATGCATGACATTATAAATATTAAATGATTCACAGAGCTATTCAGACTTACATGTTGAGTCTTTTACTCCATGTTTCTCTCATGTCTATTATTTACTGATTTTCACTCCTTAAATACTCGTTACATTATTTGTACTGACGCCTCTTTTGCCTAGGGACGCTGCATTTCATGCCCGCAGGTCCCGATAGACAGATCGAGAGTCCTCTAAGTAGGCTATCAGCTCAGCGGAAGGTATTGGTGCGCTCCATTTGCTCCGGGTTGCTTATTTGGTCAGTATGATTTGGACGTTGCATTGATTAGTATGGCGGGATCCTATCCCGACCTTTTATGATATTGATCTACTCCTAGAGGCTTGCAGACATATGTCATGTATATGAAAGATTGTATGGCCTTGTCGGCCTATTTTTAGTGTACGAGTGATCATTTTGGCCTTTTAGGCCCGTATGTCATATGTATAAGTTTGTATTACATGTTTGGTCGTCCTATGTCGAGTGTTCCCTCATGTTTAATTCTAGTTATCTCACAGCAGCCTTTCTGTTTCATTTACCTATGATAGTATGATACGAAAGATACGTTACGTTGGTACTCGGTTGGGTAAGGTACCGGGTGCCCATTGTGGCCCATCGGTTTGGGTCGTGACAAAAGTGGTATCAGAGCAGTTCTGTCCTAGGAAGTCTACTAGTCGTGTCTAATAGAGTCTTGTTTATGGGTGTGTTCTGCACCATACTTATAAGCAGGAGGCTACAGGGCATTTAGGATTATCACTCTTTTTTCTTACTCTAAATTGCGTGGTAGAGCTCACTTGTAAGAATTCAAACTCCTAAGTTCTATTTTATTCATAATACAACGATACCTACATCCAGAAAGACAGTTGGTAGGAGATTGTATGTGGATGTGGAAGAGTTGAGTCAGAGGAACTCGATTTTGCATGATGTTTATTATGAGCAAATGTAAGGTCTTCAGCAGATCATATGTGTACTAAGACGTGTAAGCTTCTTGATAAGGAGTCTTAAGGCATGGATATCTATCCACCCTTATGGTAAAAAGCAACGAGAGAATCAAAAGGTAGATACAAGTTTCAACAAGTAAACGAAGCAAGAAGAAGAAGGGTACGGGGTACCCAATTAGTGAAGATGATCATTATTTACAATTCAGGAAGAGAGATATAAGCATTTTGAGTTACCTTCAACAGTAACAGAGGTATGTACAACAGCCACACCCATCTCAGTTATGCCCTATGGGAGCTAACATATATAGTTTAAGAGAAGGACGGATTATCAGGACCCGACTGGGTTATTCTAACCCAAAATGGTGGATGACTTGTTTGCGTTAGTTGATGTTTCCGAAGGATATTGCAAATGTGCTAATAAATCTCCTTGTGAGACACCCAAACGATGAACTCTAGAATAGTACATCTAGATATGAATACTAGAATGTTCAATTTTTTTTTATAAAGACAGGCACTCGAATCCTGGAAGGGATAAATATTACCTTAGTATGGCTCCCGTCCCTAGTAGAGCGAGAATGTTAGGCAACCCGAAGAGCCAGGGGATGGAGCAAGGGGAGCTAAAATCAAAAGAGTGTCTTGTTGGAGTTTTTAGAATAAAGTGATAGACAGAAGTATTAGCGGAAAATAAGAAGAGAGTTAATGAAGCATTATGAGTAAGATGTGATACATGGATGACAACGGTAGATAAAAAAAAAAAATAATAGTACTACAGAGTCTATAGTCAAGGGAAAGAAAAGATGAGAGGTGACAGGCCTTGAGACAACAAAAGAGTATAGGCCATAAAGTCACATCTTCATTTCGAGAAATAAGTTCGTGACTCTAACGTGATTACCAGAGGAAAAGTTAGACCCCAAAGTAATGGAAATCAGTATGGGCTGGTGAACAAGATAAACTAAACATGAATTAAGGACTGAGTGATTTGATAATAGTCGGTATTATGAGAATTTTAGAGATTGCGTTTCGACGATAATAGAATGGCCAATAGAAGAATACCCTTTAAAGGTCATTCGGGAAGACGCTTCCCTATAGCAAGCAATGTGAGTAAGGTTAAGCTTAAGGGACTATGTGTGCCAGTTACACTAGGTGTCACCCTCGTGAGTAAGGAATTTTG